AGGTGTGTGCGGTTGCCGCGGTGGGTGGATGGTGGTGGGTACCCCTGGCTGGCAAATAGGGGGGCCCTCGGTGGGACCAAAATGATGGGTGACTGGATGCTTGTGCCTGGGGGCTATTTAAGGCAAGGATTTAACCCTGGTTTCACCTAGAAGAGGCACAAACTGAGCCACCTTTTTTCAGACCTCTGTGTGTGTGCCCCTCCCAGCCCCAAAATGACCCCAAAATGCCTTAAACTTTGAATGTGAGGGGGTGACAAGTGGTTCAAACAGCATCTGGCTATCTGCCTGCCCTGGGCAGGCTCATGAGCATTTGTGGTGGAGACAGCTTGGGTACTGATGATGTAAGAGGAAACATAGGGGGCTTGAGGGTGGCATCCCCCCTGCCAGCAGCTGGGCCTTCACCCACATGTTGCCCTGGGCTCTCCTTAGGGTTTTCTTTTCTGTGTGGGGCTGTTATAAGCAAAACTGGTGTCTGCCTGAACTGCTACATTCTTGCTGGAGCTGAAAGGCAGCAGGAAATCCCTGTTTCCACCCCATCTCATAGCTCACATGAGCAAAGCTCCATTTCTCCCTGCCTCCATCCCTACTCATTTCTTTCAGAATAACTCTCCTGGCCCCGCTCATAGCCTTGCCCATATTCCTTCTACCATGCATAAAATGACATTTCACCACCTTGTCACAGAGGTAAAGCTGATTTCTCACCTGCTTGGGGAGGCTGTGAGTGGTGGTGCTTTGCAAGGCTGGCTGGAGTTGCAGGAGGATGCTACCTGGATTATACCTCTTGCTACAGGAAGAGCTGGATGCCTGTTGCTTTCAAAAATGGATCATTTCATCCTGGTGTTTTATGGGGAGCTTTAAATTTAGGCAGATGTAGAGATGGTTTTTCTTTCCCTCTGGGCATTTTGGAAAGGATGCTGGATTTCCAGCAGGGTCCTGAAAGCAGAGAGTTGGTAGCAACAGGCTTCACAGGGGGCTTTGCAGGGGGTGAAAAGCTGCTGATCAAACACACTGTGATTTATTTCATTGCTTGCAGGCCACTAAAGCCATTTGGGACTTAACTTCCCATCCCAGAACCAGAGAGGATCTTGCTGGCAAGCCTGTGATGGACCCCTGGGCCCCAGCCCGGCTGCCCCAGCCCTGGGAGAGGCAGTCAGCCTGGGGGCCGTGGGGAGAGGTGCACCGAGGCCCACCACCGCATCCCGGGCAGCAGCTCCTCCGCCTGGGACACCCACCTCGGCCTGTCTCCTGGGACGGGGGCCACCCCCCCAGCCACTCCTGGGATGAGGGCCAACAGCCCCAGAGGGATGCTGCCCGCAGACCGGCATCTCGGGCTGAGCGCTATGAAAGCAGCTACTCCAACAGGCTGTACTCCAGGTGAGAGCTGCCCAACTTTGCAATGCTGGCACTGAGCCACCTCCTTGTAAACGTTCTTAAAACCAGATTTGACCATTTCACTGCTCTCCTGGGCTTGCGACACGGGTCCTGCCCTTGTAACTGCACAGAGGAAGCAGCAAGCAGCCTGGAGGAGGCAGTGCGTGATTAGGTGATGTCCAGCTATTAATGCAGCCAGTGACTTCTATATCTAAGGCTGTGTAGCAGTTGCAGCTCCCATTTCTTCTTACAGCTGTGACTTCTGCAGTTGCCATTTTACAGGCTTCATCTCGGTCCCAAGGTGTATTTTTCCTGCACGTTTGATGAAATGCAGTTCTTTTTTACAAAGTGCAAGGTGAACAATAAAAATACAAATGGTAATATAGGAGCTTGAAAGCTCAGCTGCTGCAACAGCGGAGGGTGGAAAGATAAAATGTGGGCTAGAGAATGCTCTCAGTGCCGAGAGCAAGCTTTGGGTGCTCCAGCAAATTTGGGCTGATTTGCCCAAGTTATTGCCCTCTGTGAGTTCTGGTGCCGACATGCAGGGTTTTGTGCTGAGGTTGTATGACGCTTGCACTGGGAAGGGGGGGGTGTTGCACAGGGCTGACTAAACCACTGTGTAAATTGTGAAGGGTTTAGGTATGCAAGCACTTGATGGGTGGTCTATGTTGGGGCTGAGCTCTGATGTCCCGGGAACCTGCTGAGCTGTGTGGTGAACACAGCAGCTCGAGCCTGGTGGAGAAGATGCTTTTGGGGGACCTCTCCTAAAACGTGGGTGAAATTTGGCCCTCAGGACAAGTCCACACCATCGAGCTGAAATTGGGCATCACCTGAAACTGCAGTGCACAACTTTCTCATAGATGGGAATGGGAAAGTATCCAAACTTCCTGCTGCTCCTTCCAGGCATGATGCAGGACCAATTTCTGGCCCTGCTGCTGAGCAGAGCACCTGAGCGAGGGACATGCTTTTATTTCCATCATCCTTTTTGCCTCCAAAGGTCCCATCTGGGGCATGAGTCTAGCCCTAGATGTGGTCCGGAACTTGCAGCGGTGCCCTTTCTCAGATTTAGTACGTCATGTTGCGTTTCAGGCAAGGATATGAAGACCCCCACTGGCAGTATCCAGCAGCCGGCTATGGGGATGACTACACCTACCAAAGCCACAAGCGGCAGCTGGTGGCCTGGCAGAATGACAGAGGTATGGGCTTATCCTTTGGGTCTGGGGATGGAGGGAACTTGCTTGCAGGAGAAGAGGTGATGCTTTCTCCTGGATGGGTTCTTCCCCCAGAGCTTGCACAACTCCAGGGCTTTCTCCTCCTCACACCATTCTCCCTGTGGAGCACCGTCCTCAGTTTGCACTCGGAAAATGTGAACGGGAACTAGCTGTACCCAAGGGAATGTTTGATCTTGATCTCTGTGGCTAAAACCCTGTGTCATTCCTGGTTCCAAGGTGAACTTGATGCTGATGGTGCTGTGTGATCTTGGTGGCCAGGGACTCATTTTTGCTGTTTGTGGAGTTCTTGGGCTGAAGAAAAGGGGAGGGAGTAAAGAGGAAAGGACATCAGCGCTGTGTTGGCAAATGTGCACAGGGCTTTATCATCCCTCCAATATGTTGGACTAATTTGTAAGCAAATGGGGTGTGCATGGAAAATTGCTTGACTCATTGCTTTTCTTTTGCAACTTCATTATGGCCTGTTGCTCTGGAGGGGCAATGCTAAATCTTGATTCTCTCCCTAGACCTGAGACAGGGAGAGTCTTACAGCAAGAGTACCAATTACCGGGACCAGCACTACTACAGGGGTTACCATCCCAACCTGGCCATGACCACCCTGGGACAGGACAGGTAGGAGTGGGGAGTCTGGGCATCACCTGGTGCAACCATCTGCTACAAAATTAGCAGGTTTGTGACTGGTGCCACAAATCTCTGACCTTCACGGTGTCTCCTTTTGCTCCTTCTGCAGGACACAGACCTATGGCTCCTATGATAAGGAGAGATATGTCTCAGCTGCCCAGCCTGAGTGTGCAGGGGGAGAAACCCTTGACAGTGACTCAGGAGAGGCCAGCAGCCAGCTTCGAGAGGTAACCTCGAGATGTGCAAGGGTGAAGGACAAAAGTATTGGGGATCTCCCAGAGATCTTGGGAGTAATCCATGTGTCTTTCCTCCAGCTGTGAAGAAGGCTGAAGAGAAAAGGGCTGCTTTGCTATGTTTTACTCGGTGCTTAACCATCTCTGGGGACTATTATAGTGGGTTATTAGTATTTATGAACTCTCCATCTGCTGGGCTGTTGTTCCTCCAGGCATGGGGCTCTGCACCACTCCTGCACAGGACTAAGAGCAGGACAAAAATCTAGGCTTGGTGGGGTGCTCTTCTGCATCTTCCCTAGGTAGCCAAAGCTGTGTGTTATTTTCAGCTCTGTCCACCAAGGTCTGCTCTATCACGCTTGTCCCGGTCACTGTGTTTTGCCAAGAGAAAACGAAAGATTAGGTCAAAGCTTCTGTGGTGGTTTTGCTCCTGGGCAATGCTTTTTTGGGTTCCTAAGCCCTGTCTGCTGGCTGTGTTGAGGAGTCCATGTTAGGGCTAGGAAGGCTGTTGGGCTAGACCAGTGGCTGATTTAAATTATTTTAAAAGCCATTGGGTATTATCAGGGTACGTGCCACAGTGAACCTACAGGGATGAAGAGAGTGAGCTGCTTGGGAATTGACTGTGCTCTGCTTCTCCCACTGGACACATTCACAGAGCAGCAGAGCCTGTACCACTGCCCTGGGAGCAGAAAAGCAGTGGTATCCCTAGTTCCTCAGTCAGGTTTGTGTTTTCTCCCTTCCTTGCAGCCCTCAGGCCAGCCCAGCCTGCTCATGCAGTACCGTGAGTCGGGGCTCAGCTCCAGTGGCTATGAGCTCAGCCAGTACATCCGTGATGGTGCTGACCACTACGACCCCACTATTTCAGGGACGTGGAGCCTGGCACAAGCAGGTGAGGTGTGATGGGGTCTGGCCTGCTCTGATAAGGCAGGAACAAGGAAATAAATGGCTGGAGTTAGGAGATTTGCTGTCCTGCAGTCTGGACCTTTCTTGTAGGAGGTTGTGCAGGCACAAGGCATGACTAGGAGAATATGGGGTGGGTGCATGGTCCTGTGGCTCTGCCCTGGTGGATGCAGGAGCTACCATGCATGCCTTCTGCTTTAGAGGACAGTTCTTGCGTAGAGGGTTCGGTGGAGGGTTACGTAAGTTGTGAGGGCCGGGTTGGGACCTGGTTGTGTCCTCCATACTGGAGGTTGTGTGGGGTCAGGGTGAGAAGACTCATGGTGGCCTGTGTGTCATTGCAGAGGAGCCCTTGATGTCCACCCCAGCCCCAGTGGTACCCTTCAAGTTCTCACTGCCACACGTTGCGGTGTGCTTTGGAGCTGGAGGCCAGCTGGTGCTGGTGTGTCCCCACAGCCCTGCCGAGGGGCAGCTAGCCCACGTTGAGCTACACAGCCTGGAGGTATGACACAGCCCAGCACCCCAGACTGCCCTCGGTCCCCTTGCTGGAGTGACTCCTTTTGCCCTGAGGAGACGACTCATCACCCGAACAGCCTCCTCAGACTCTTGAGTCTGCATTGTGCCAGCCTGTGTCTGGGCATTGCTTTCAGGATCTGCATCCTGCTCCTTCAGTTCCATAACTTTTGGCATCTGTGACCTGTTCAGTCTGATAGGGACTGATGTGGTCTATACCTCTCTGAAAGATAATTCTGCTCACCTTTCTGAGGCGCTCCAATACAGAGGCTGTATCCATCCCCTGGGCCTACAACAGCATTTCAGTCTCCTCTTTTGCCTTCCAAAGGAAGCAGATGCCATCTCAGCAGACATTTCTTTCCTAGACCTTAGCATTGGGGTCCCTGTGATGGTTTAGGGTCTATGTTCTTGGGGTTACCTTAAGACAGCACAGAGAATGGGTTCACCAGCACTGCTAAATGCTTGGCCAAGGCACTGATTTTCAGCTGGAGTCCAGCTGCTGAATTTGCTCTTTGTTTTTTAGGTAATCCTTCATGACATGAAAGAGCTGAAGGAGCTACAGGCCTTCCCGGGGCCCCTGGTCAGGTATGCTGCACCAGCAGGTCCAGGAGCTGTGTCCTCCTGGCTGTGCTGGCATTGCTGTCCTGGGAGCACCTCTCCTTTGGGAGAAGATATGAGCTCAAGGCAGGCTTTAGGGTCCCCATGGTTTTGAGATATCTGCAAAGGCCAAGTCTAGGTTCAGATTGGGAGCCCAGCCACTCTGCTGAGGTGTAGGTTGGTTTGGATTGTGGGAGATAGCTTTTCTGAATATTCATAGGGTGTGTGCGTTTAGTGTGGTTTGTATGTCTGACGTTATTTTGTACTCATGACCCAGAAGACTGATTCTGGGGAGATCTATTTGGATGTCTAAAACCCTGGGTCAACCTGTGGTTTAGCTTTTCCTAAGGCATTTGTCCCCTGAGACTGTTGAGCATGACAGGGTCAGACGCAGTGTGCACCTTCATCCAGTGTGAGCCTGGGAATGAATCATGGTGTATTGCATCAGGTTGTCTCTCTATTGTACTGGTTACACCAGCATGTCTTCTGGTCACTTGTAACCAAAGTGGGGAGAGAAAAGGAGTGTGCAAAAGGAGGAAAACCAGAGAAGAAGAGCTGCATATGCCCAGAAGCTGGGTAGAAGACCTAGAGGCTACCACTTGTGCTGAAGGGGATATTGGGAATATCCATATAATACGTTGGTGTAATTGAGTGAGGATCAGCATCTCCCTCACTGATCCCTCTCCCCTGGCTGATCTTGTCTGCCAGCTACCTTCTCTTTCCAACTGTCTGATTTTATTTTTTTTTTTATTGTATGACAGCAGTTCTGCCCGGTTCACACATAGCTTAAAGGCTTCTGCTTCTGTTTCAGACCCAAAGGGTTTGTGTGGTCACAAGCATGTCTTCCTCCCTGCACTGTGCCAGTTAATCAAAGATACTGCCTGTATTGTGCCTGCTGCTACAGCCTTGGATATCCATGGCTGTAACAGCAGTGCAGCTAAGCAAAACTGAGGCTCTTCTCAGATGGATGGATGAAAGTATTATCAGGAGGGCAAAGAGAGTTTGCACTCCTGAAACACAGAAATCTGCAAAGAGTCATAATGATGATGAAATTTAAGCATTTTTGATCTTAGTGTCCCTAGGGTGGTATGTGGTTGTTGACACAGGATCTTCTCTGTCTCTCACTTTGTGTCTTTGGCATACTCATCAGTGAACCTGGGGATGCTCTGAGTCTGAATGATGTCCTAGATTGCCTTGGTTTCTTTTGATGCCTTTCTTTGCTGCTGCAGGGAAGATCTGCACAAGGTAAATGTGATGGCATTCTGCCAGCAGAAGATAGCCACAAGCTGTGATCTCTCAACACAGAGAGGCAGAGATTCAGCTCTCCTCTGGAAACTCCTGGTCCTCCTCTGCCAGCAGAATGGGGTAGGTGTCCCATGGGAAGGAGCTGACTCTCTTGTTCTTAGAAGTGGAACAGTTTATATGCCTCTTGTGTGCCTCTTGATCCAGTTGCTCTTTTCAGAGGGGTGTACCTTAAAAGCACCCCATTCCCACAGTAACATCGATCTGTTTAATATTGCCTGGATATTTGGAGCAAACCCTTCTCCTGGATTGCTTTTCATTCTTGTGAACTACCAAAAGCTCAATGCCACAGCAGCTGTGAAAGGGACTGTTGCCACCTTCATCGAGGAGCCAGCATTTATGATTAAAAGGGGATTATTCCCTTAATCCACTTAAATCCACCCAATATAATCTGTGGCTCCTTCTTGGAAGCAGACGAATGTGATCTTTGGAGCGAGTGCTGTGAAAGGTCTTGTTAGTTCTGCTGAACCCTTTGCCCTCCAAAACTGTGTGCTGGTGGCCAAGTCTGGTCTTGCTGGGGAGGTGTGCTGGGATGAGGATAGGGTGTTGGACTGGAATAACCATCAGCCTTCACTCATGGGGCAGCCTCCATGGATTTCGCTCTTCACTTTCCCTTTTGCAGTCCATGGTGGGCTCAGACACGGCCGAGCTGCTGCTGAAAGACTGCAGGCACCTGGAGAAGTACAAGAGGCAAAGCCCCATGGCAAACGTTATTGGCCTTACAGATGATGAGTGGATGGCGCGTCAGCCGGGGACACTGGACCTCATCACGGGGGAAGTCCCTCCCATTGTGGAGACGCAGGCACAGATAGTGGAGAAGTTCACCAAACTTCTCTACTATGGCAGGAAAAAAGTAAGTGATGGGTCAGATCCAGGACACAGGGCTGACTTTTGTGGTATCAATACTGTAAGCTGCTTGCACTACAGGGCTTATGGCAGTGATTTCCCACCACTGGGAGCTGGGATGGGGCCCTGAAAGAGGCATAGGCTTTTACCAGCACTGCAGGTTTATTTTGCAGCTATGTGAGCATGTCCAGAGAAGGGCAATGAAACTGGTGCAGGGTCTGGAGCATGTGTCTTATGAGGAGCAGCTGAGGGAACTGGGGTTGTTTAGTCTGGAGAAGAGGAGGCTGAGGGGAGACCTCATTGCCCTCTACAGCTACCTGAAAGGAGGGTGCAGAGAACTGGGGATGAGTCTCTTTAAGTAATAAGTGTCAGGACAAGAGGGAATGGCATCAAGTTGCGCCAGGGCAGGGTTAGACTGGCTATTAGGAAGAATTTCTCTCCGGAAGGGGTTGTTGGGCGTTGGAATGGGTTGCCCAGGGCAGTGAGGGAGTCCCCATCCCTGGAGGGGTTGAAGAGTTGGGCTGACCCAGCGCTGAGGGATTTGGTGGAGTTGGGAACTGTCAATGTGAGGTTAAGGGTTGGACTGGATGATCTTTGAGGTCTTTTCCAACCAAGATGATTCTGTGATCTCAAGGGACACCAAAGGCACAGGTGGAGGGAGGAGGGTTGGATGTGGAGAAGCTTGGGTGCTCAGCCTGGGATCCCACAGTGGGGGCCTTAAGAGCTAACAGGCAGCACAGACCTGGGACTCCCAGAAAGACAATATTACTCTGAAGGTCCCAGTTCTTGCCATCATACAAGGTAGAAAAATAGAGGGGCCTTTGTGATGTGGAAGAGATTTTGGAGGGTTTTAGTTAAAACCAGAGCAGTCATCAGAGCTTGTCTCTGAGCTGGGTGAGCAGAGGGTCCCTTGGCAGCTGAGGAGGGTGGGGACGTTAGTGCAAACTCTTTTTCTTCTCTATTTTGGCTGCAGGATGCTCTGGTCTGGGCCATGAGAAACCAGCTGTGGGGCCATGCCCTCTTCCTTTCCAGCAAGATGGACCCTCGAACCTACAGCTGGGTGCTCACCGGGTAAGTTGGAGAAGCTAAAGTAAGGTCTGATTCTCTGTGACTGGCTTTGCCAAGTGTGTTATCCCTTCAACTGCCCTCAGCCTTCAGCACTGAAAAAAAGAGCATTGATTTCAGTTGGACCTTCTCAGAGAGGGCAAAGAGAAGAGGGGGCATCCATCCAGATGGGCCTGAGTTCTTTGGACATCCTGAGAACAGGAGAAAACAAGTGGGGTATGGAAAGCAGAAGGAAAGCCATTCCCTTGAGATGTGGGGTGGATTTATTCTGAGTGTTTGGTTTGCCCCTGCTGCCCTAGCAACCATCAGGGTAGGGGGAGCTAAGCCATCCTCACTGTGATCCTTCCTGGTCTGGATTGTTCATCCCACTTATATGATCATTTTCTGGTGGGATTAACATACTTAGTCTGGATCAGGTTGATCCCTTAGGGGAGAATTAAACAGAAATTTTGTCTTGTGCAAACTGAATCCTTTTAAGGAGGTTTTATCCAGCGTTGTCCTGGAGACTTGCCTGCTCTGGAGGTAATGCAGATCATCAGCTTCGCGGGCTGATGTTCTTTTCTGCCTTCTCTTAGAAGTCCCTTGGGATTTCCTGGGGTGTTTGGGATATGCCCTTGGAGGTGAATGAGTGTTTGGAGTCCTGGCATGACAGCCCTATCTCTGCTGTCTCCTCACAGGTTCACCAGCACACTGGCCACCAATGACCCCCTTCAGACCCTCTTCCAGCTTATGTCGGGAAGGATCCCTCAGTCAGCGCTGGTCTGTGAGCAAGAGGCTGGCCCCGGCATGTGTACCCCTGTGATGTCACCTGCCTGTGACATCCACCTTGTAGTGACCATCTCTGCTCACTTTCACTCTCCTCTTGTCTCCCTCCAGTGCTGTGGGGATGTCACGTGGGGAGACTGGAGGCCACACCTGGCTGTAATGTTGTCCAACAAGGTAGGAGACATGGAGCTGAATCACCGAGCCATCATCACCATGGGAGACACTCTGGGTGAGCCAAGGCCATTGTGAGCAGTTATGTTCCCACTGCCTTGTAATGGTGGGTGGACATGCTGGTGTGAATGTACATTGGTGTTGAGGTGGGGGGTGCGTGTCTGTACACCCAGAGCTGCAGTGCCTGTGTGGTGGCAGGGATGAGGGGTTGATAGATTCTCCTGCCTTTCATGCTGGCAGATAAGTCAGGCTTGGGCACAGCCATAGCTGCTCTCTTGGAGGCACCTGGAGCAGCTGGACCTGGGGAGCGCATCTGTAACTGTGGGAACTGAGGCTTGTTCCTGGTGGCAGGGACTTGGGGATTTCATGCCAATAATGGCACCCTGCAGAGTTGAAGCTAGAGCTGGACCCTACTCAGGCTCTCCTGGTCCTACTACAAAACTGAAACCCTCTCCTAGGTACAGAAAGAAGCAATTGGGGAAAACAGACAAAAAAGAGGGAGAAGGTAGAGATCAGGGTCTGCATGGACAGGGAAGAAAAGTGGGGCAGTTGGATTTGGGTTTTCATGTGAGCTGGGAGGCCCCCAAAGCAATGCTGAGCACACAATGACCTCTCTCTCTCTGGACTAAATGTTTGTCTTTTTTACCTCCCATCTAGCTGGCAGGGGAGCAGTTGAAGCAGCTCATTTTTGCTACCTGATGGCAGATATTCCTTTCAGTTACTTTGAGGCGAAGGCAGACCGCATGGTTCTGCTGGGCAGCAATCACCGGTGAGCAAGCCCAGGAGGCAGTGCTCTTGCCAGAGCGAAGTGTCCTACCTTCTCCCCATCCCAGGGATCTCATTGATATGCAAAAGCAATCCCTGTTTGTGAGTTTTTAGTGCTCTTATTGTGAGCTTTGCTCTGGGCCTCTCCAGCTGCAGACTGGCACAGCGGTGGAGCTGTGAATCTGTGTGTGGGGCTGTCTGGGGAGAGAGGTCTGCTCTTGCTTGCTGAATCTACCCCTCTCTTCTGTAGTCAGGCATTCACTCAGTTTGCCAGGACAGAGGCCATCCAGCGGATGGAAATCTTTGAGTACTGCCAGCAGCTACGACAGCGTGAATCCTTTCTGCTTCCCTTCCAGGTAGTGGAGATACACAAACACATTTGGTGACCTGTTCCTAAACATGCATCCATACTTCTGAAGCCAGGGATTCAGGCTGCTCTCCAAGGCTTGTCCCCTCACTGGGCTTTGGGAGCAATGGGGAGGCTGTCCTGGCTGAGGGGCTCCTCCAGGGCAGGGCTTTGGGCAGGGTTAGGGGCAAGGTGTGTTTGATCAGTGCTTGCTCAGGTCTGGTTGCCTTCCTACTCTCTGGGATTATAATAGGTAGGCTTTTCACATGCCTGCTGCCTTGGGTGCTGCACAGATGGGGTGGATAAATGAAGGTGGTGGGTGGCGTCCTCTCCCTGCTGCCTGTCTGCTGGCTGGGGCTGGCCTGGCCTTGTGACAGCGCTGTGGTTTGGGGAGCGAGGCTGGATGGCCCTATGTGGATGGGTGGGGGTGCCCCTAAGTTGCAGGTGACCTCTGGGTGATGAAACCCATGATCCAGGGTGCTCTGAGTCATGCTAGGATGATGCCCATGCCTGTGGGTTCTGTCATGGCCTATCTCCTTGCTCACCTATTATGTCTTCTCTGCTTCCCTCCCCCGAGGTGTACAAGCTCCTCTATGCCTCTCGCTTGGCTGACTACGGGCTCCCAGCCCAGGCCCTGCAATACTGCGAGCAGATTGCCACTGCACTCCTGGGCCAGGATCTGGCCAGCCACCCCATCCTGGCCCAGCAAGTGATGAAGGTGAGTCTTGTATCCCCTGCATCCTTGTTAGGGTGTGATACCCATTCAGCACCTGGTGTGGTGGGAAACATTCTCGGGTTTCCCATGGCTGGGGGTGCTTGTCATCTCTGAGCAGCCCCCCAGGGTTTGCTGCCTGGTGTGTGCCGAGTACAGCAAAGCCAGCACCTCCATGGATTTAGGGTAGAAAACAAAGGAATTGCAGTAACTGCCAAGTAGGAGAGAGTTATTTGGAAGAAAATGATGTATTTTATTCTGGAGAGACATCTAAATGGCACCAACTTAAGAAGCTGAAGTGTGAGTGCTTGACATTGCCCCTCCGGCACATCATACCATAATTTACCTGACAGGGGCTCTTTTGGGGTGACAGTGAATCGGAGCATGTCCCAGCTTGTAGCACTGAGTCCAGCTCCTCCGCTTTGTGAGTGGGGCACTGGGGCAGGGAGGGGTGAAGCAAAGTGTCCCAAGTCCCCTGGGTAGGTCAGGCTCTTGGGAGAGTGGGTCTGCCCACTCCATGCACATCACCAGGGCAGTGCTGAGGCTGCTTAAAGCCTTCCTCTGTCAGGAGGACAGCAAAAGCCACAGAGCTGTGATATGAGAGGCAGCAAGGATGCCTGTCTGAAGTGGGGGCTGCAGAAATAGTCCAAAATTTGGCTTGCGCAACCCCCCAAACCCTGTTGTCAAAACCTATTTAATGTCTAACAGCCTCTCAGATCTGCTGTTCTGCTGGGGATAATGCTTCTCCTGGGAGAACACACTTTCATCTGAAAAACTAGTGCATTTGTAGACGCTCTTGTCTTTGATGTTTTAGACTGTGTTACAAATTATGATACAGATTAGTGGTTGATTAAGACTTCCCCTCTTTTGAAGCTGGGGACGATATACAACCAGGTGCTGGTTCATTAATATTGAATCAAAGTGCACATTAGCTTTTGGATTAAACATTCCCCCCGTTTAGGAGTAATCATGCTTATAATTTCCTCTTTCCTGCAATTGATTTAGGAGGAACACATGTGTGTTTGCAAAGAGATGGGACAGTGGGTCTGTAGGTAGTGCAAGCTTCTGGCTGGGTGTTGGGTTACTCTGCTCTCCATGGCCAGTCTCTGTGGACAGTGCAGCTGCATGGGTCATCTCTAGGTGTAATCTCCTGGAGTTAGAAAGTGTGTTTTGTGCTGATTTGGACATTGTCTTAAAAAACTTTGGGAATAGGAAGAACTGGCTGATGGGGACTGGTGGGGGGGGATAGCCAAGACTTGTGTGGCTCAGCTGCAATGTCACCTCTGGACAGCTTGTGGTGGCCCTTGATGTGGCAGCCTCATAGAAAACGTAGAAGATAAATGAGCGTGAAGGAGCAGGGAGGGAGCTTTATAAATGCCTGAGAAATGGGTCTATACCAGTAAGAGAAAATTCAGTAAAGACTCAGATAAGGAGCGGTGCTTTGAGTGTCATTTCCCCTCATCCAACTGTCTTAAAACTGGACAAGCCTAAGCAATTTGTCCAGACTGGGATTTAGCTCTGCGGGGAGCCCTCCACCTCACCCTGGGCTGGTGGGATGAGTCACCCCAGAAGAGCCTGTTGCTCTGCTTAGGGTAGCTGGAGCCTCATGTCATTATGATGGCTGCAGCCAAGGCAGCACAGACCCTGCTCTTGCAGGAGAAATTAAGCACAGAGCAGCAATACTGCTGAGAGGGACCTGGGGGAGATAGTGGAACATGGAAAAAATACCAAGCAGCAGCAGCAGCTCGATAACAGGATGCTCTTGCAAAAAAGGAAAAAAAAATCCAATGTTATAATGTTGTTCTGGGCTGTGAGAGCAAGAACGGCATGTGTGAGACAAGGAGGTGATAATCCCCCCATGCTTGGGTCTCGGGGGTCTTGGCTGAGGCACCGTGCTGTGTTTGGGACACTGCGTTCAGAGACAGGGACAAATTGGAGCAAATGCAGAAGAGAAGAGCAGGTGTGATAAGAGATTGAGGGGAAATGACCTCTGAAGAAGGCCTCAGGGTTATTTTTTCCAGGCAAGATACACTGGGGGAGGAAGGGGTATGGGGGATGTGATAACAGCCCTCTGGCATGCAGGAGGCTGCTTTTCAGGGGTTGGCGCCTGACTGTCCCTGCAGCTTCTGTGGGAGCAGGAATCAAGAGGCTTAATTTGCAGTAGGGAAGATTTCACTTAGATATTAAGAAAAAGCTCTTTAGCTCTAAGGACATTAAACATCAGGACAGGCTGGGGAGTCTGTGAAATCTTCTCCTTGGAGATTTGTAAGTGCAAATCAGACAAACACGGGCTGGTGTGGGCACACAGGATTTTCCTGAGCACTGGCAGATAGATTAGGTAACCTCAGAAGGTCCCTCCCAACCCTGCATTTCTGTTGTTTTCTGTGTGGTTATTAGTGATGGTAACACTTGTTGCAAAGCCAGGTGAGAAAACAGCTGGGTGAGCCCTCAACTCTAAAACTACCAGCTCCCATCCATTCTTGTAAGGTAGGTGAGAGATTGATGCACAGTCCTGGGAGCTGGGCTTGTTTCCAGGGTTCCTGGTGGGATGTCCTGCAAACCTGCTGGTGCTCCGGACTGGCTGTTAAGTGGGATTAAAGGTGCTCAATTCCCTCAGAGGAGAAAATGATGGTAGTGGTTACCTGCCTCTGATGAAAAGAGACTGACATTGATACTTTGACATCTCTAGGGAGGTAGCTGAGGTGGCTCTACTGAGAGTTACTCTGCAGGGCACAGGATGAGCCAGCACCTCTCTGTGGCAATGCAGGAGAGGGAGTAAGTCTTGCACAAGACGCTGGTATTACTTTTACCCCTGTATTATGAAGTGCAGCTCTGGCGCTATTTTCCCCTGTGCCTGTGACTTGGCCATGTGCAATTGCCGCAACGGTTGGTCTCTTCCCTGTGGAGATGAGATTGTGATGAGCTCTGTTGCCCTCCTGGCTCCACAGCTTGCCGAGCGGCTGAAGCTCTCTGACCCTCTGCTCCAGGAGATGCCGGAGCAGGACCAGATGCTGGAGCCTGACTGGCTGGTACAGCTCCGAGCCTGCTGCCGGGAGTGGGAGGTAAGGAAGAGAGGGGGTGGGTGCTGTGGGACAGCTGGTCTGTGTGGGGGTTTGTCTGCAGGAGCATCCTCTTCCTCTGCCCTGAATCTGAGTGGACAGGTATGGAGATTTGAAGGCTGTTGTTACCCAGATGCCTTTTCCCTTGGCTAGTGAGCTCAGAGGTGCAGTCTCTGCTGTGGGACCTGCAGCTTCAGCAGGAGCAGGGCGGTTGCAGATCCCGAGGGTGTAAGCAGCGAGGGCTAAAGAGCTTTGCACAGGGCAAAATACTCCTTGTCTTGGCTCAAGGAGGGCAGTCAGGGATGGCGGGTAAATGATGATCTCCTCTTGCAGTAAGGATGTTGCAGAGGATACTGGTGAGGCATCACCTTGCAGACATGTGCTCTCAAGTCCTTTACCTGGGTTCTGATTCTTGGATTAATGCTCTTCATTCAGGTTTCATGTCTGCTTTTGGTTTTGTGCCCTTTTCTGCCTCCAGTTTCCTCTCCTGCCCGCTCTCACCAGGGCGGTGATGCTGCAGCTCCCTTCACTTGCAGGGGAAGAGCTGGTATGAGTCTCACCTGTAACCTGGGCTCCTACAGCTCAGGGCGGGTTGTGACCCCCAGCCCCACCAGCACCGTGCTTTCCTTTATACTGGTTTTGTGGCTGCCTTAGTCTTTGACCTGTACCACCCCCTTTTCCATCTGTTTTATCACATTTTCCCTCTGACTCCTTGCAGGTGAAAGATGACCCTGCTCCAGAGGTGACACCTACTCAGCCAGGGCTCTCCTGGGCTGCCGCATCAATGGAAGGTAAAGAAAATGATGCAGCAGGTTGCAATGATCGCAACGGGCTTCTCCATGTGCAGAGCTGTGCTGCCGCGAGCTGGGAGGCAGCTCCCTGGAGAATTTCTCAGTAGCTGCTCCTTGCTCCTTACATCTCCCCAGAGCTCAATTTTGCTTCTGCCTAGACACATAGCTCTAGTGTGGGGCTGCCAGGGATGAGCTGCAAACCGAGGGTTGATACTTGTGCCCTCCATACAAAGTCTAAGTAATTTGGCCTAATTACCACAGCTTTGGGAGTCCCTGTGGGCACTGCAGGAGGAGAAGCGGGACTGGGGGTGGGTGGCTGGATGAAGCACGTACCTCCCGGCTGAGCCTTGGGGTAGACAGCCTGGTTCCCAGGCAGGCCTCTGAGGATGCAAATTGGAGCTGAACTAAAGAGATTTCACACTTGCAAAGATTTGGGTAGGAGCTCATCCCTCTGCATGCCAAGGCTGCACGCAGCATACCTGTTGGTGAAGCCCCAGCCTTTCCCCTTCCCCACCACCTCTTTCATCCCTCTGCTTTGCCTCTTGATGACTCCAAGAGTCCCCTCTCTAGTGACAGTCCACCCAGAGGGTCAAGAGACATCAAGATGAGGACACGAGCCTCCCGTGGGCGGCTGTCAAGGGAAGGGCTGGATAGTTTTCCTTTCCTAGCCGGTCCATTGGGATGCTTCATGAAGAAGTCAGAGGCTGTTGACCCATTGGCGTTGCTTCACAGCCATCAGCAGGATGCCCCGCCACAGCTCCTTGCTGTTGCTCTGATCTAGCTTTCTGCTGGGAACACCAGCACCAATGGGTGGAGAATAAGGGCTGATGCAGACAGGATAAAACATGACAAATTCCTCCAAGCCATTTCTTCCTATCAGCTTTCCCTGCTGCTGCCAAATGCCTCTTCAAAGAGCTCTCCCAGGCAGTAAAAAAGATCATCAATCCTGATTGCCTTCTGCTGCTATCAGGGCTGCGACTATGATCATCCCTCCCTGGAAAAAAGTCACAGATATGACAGGATGGCTTCTTCAAGTAGCCAGATCTGCTCCATGTAGTCTCTGCAACTCTCTTTCCTGATGCTTGGCTCTTTTGTTCATTGAGAAGGCCATCTTAAGTCACCATTTGAGGGGCCTGCATGCAGATAAAGCTGGCTTGGTGCTGAATCCACCCATCTTGGAAAGACAAAGCCCAGATGAAGGTGCCAAGCTGGGATTCATGTGGTCACAGCAATCTCCCTCTCCATCCTTACAGTCTGGGCTGTTCTTACTGACTTTTTCTGGCTGAGCCTGCCGGACAGCATCCATCCTCCTCTCTGAGGATCTTGAGCATCTCCAGGCTATGCAGGAGCAGCTTATGGGTGTGAAGCCAACCCAAGGCATGATGGAAGTGATGCTGGCAGCAAAGCCAAGGGTTTTGTAACACTGCATCCAAGAGGTGCCATACTCTGTCCCCAGGCTCAGATCCATGGAGTCTGGGTCCTGCCTGGCCATGACTCATGGTGAAGGGAGAGAAACTTCCCAGTGCCCAGCATGTTTCTGGCTGGAGACTGCAGAGCTGGAACAAGCAGGACACGCACCTGGGACCAAAGGCAGCGTGCTGCCTGCACCATGTCTAACATCAGACAGAGCAATGTGTGTGTGTGTGTGTGTGTGTGTTAAATAAAACAAGCCCCACTTGCTCAACTCTCCTTTCAAACAAAACAAACCACAACCCTGAATAAATCTGCCTAAAGCAAGAAACTCATCTGTGGGCACTGCTGTGGAAGGCTGCAGCTTTGCAGTGCTCAGGGTGTGCGGCAGGAGTGGAAGCAAAGGCTGGAGGCACTGGGGTCCTTTGAACTGCTGGTGTGTGCTGCTCGTGCTTGGTCTCTGCTTCTATAGAATTCCTCTTCTGAATTTGTTTGCAACCTCAGGCATGTTCCCAGGAGGTTTCTCACTGGTCTTTCACAGCCCATCTTCCTTGAGGCCTCTGAAAGAACCTGCTGCCACACAGTGCCCTACCTCCTCCCTCACCTTCGTGTGGTCCCTGGGGTCCCTCCTCACCTCCCGGCTCCCACTGATGTATAATGGAAAAGGCAAGAATTCTGTGTAACAGCTCGATGAAATTACAAACATCGGAGTAAACTCCTGAGGTGTGGGGTTTTGTGATTGGTGGTTTTTGTTTTTTTTTTTTTCTTTTGCAGATGGAGAGCCTGGCCCCGAGCTTCCGCCAAGTGAAGGCTACAAGTATGACCAGTGGTACCAGCCTGTGCCACCCCAGGGACCCAGCTCCCACAAGGATCTGTCTTTCCAGCCCCCAGTACCTGCTCAGGTTGCAGCATTTCCACTGCTCAGTGTTGGGCAAGAGCTGCAGCCCCCTGTGCTTGGCCCAGGGATGGCCACCCCTCCAGGAGGGGATTTTGCTGAGCCCTCTCTGCAGGTGGTGCCACAGGCAGGTAAGTGCTCCAGCCTTGTTTCTATGCAAAAATGCCTGTCCCCGGTTAGTAGCAGTGGGATGGGGTGTCCCTTGGGGAAGTGCTGTCCCCTACAGCATACGTGCCACTTCAGACACTGCTCCCTGCCAGTGCTGCCTTCACTTGGCACCTTGTTTCCCTCCAACCTTGCCTAGGTGTGGAGCCATGCGTGTCCCAGCACCATGCATGCAAACTGTCCATGGCTGCCCTGGGCAGGTGGTGCTTCATTTTTGGCAGACCTTGCCCCAAGCAGCAGGGGAGGGCAGCTGCAGGTCAGTGGCAGTGCTGCCACTTCCCTGCCAGGTGGGAAAACCAGGTTGACATCCAGCATTGCGAGGCAGGTTTCTGAGATGCACCAGTGCAGCACCTCATGTCCCTGGTGCTGGCAGGGACAGGGACCAGAATGGCCTTTTGAATGTCTTGGGGGAACATCTTGGACATGTGGCCTCACTCTGGAGTGGGGTGATAGAAGCACTGAAAATCCCTCTGAGACATGGCAGGAGGTCCTTGGGCCAAACCCTGACTGCGTCCTTCCCTCTGCTCCACAGGAGAAGCTGGGGAGCCCTGGAGCACCCCGCTGTCCCTGGGGGGGGTGCAGCCATCTCTCCCAGCAGAGCAGGTGAGTCAGAGGGGTTAGGGAGACCATCCCGTTGGGGATCCCAGGGGCACTTGGGACTCGATGGCTCATCCTTCTGTGCACTTAACTTGCATAGAACCCCCCCATCATGGTGCCGGCCGTCCCCTCAGGGGCCTGAAAGGTTAGGGTAGCCCTCTCCAGCTTCCTACCTCTGGGACCATGGGCTGTCTGCTGCATCCTACTGTGGGCGCTATCCTCCCCTGCCTGCTGTGTAAGGGATGTGGGGGTCCCTGGGGACTGTAGCCATTAAACCTGGCATGGAAGAGTCCCAGGGATGCTCTGATCATGCTTGGGGTGGCTCCTCTGGGAACACCAAGTGGCAGCTCCAGTCTCTGGTGCCAGGAGGAGTTAAAGGCAAGGGCTCGGACCATCTCAGAGAGCTCCACCATCTCCTTGGAAGATGACAGCCGACCTTCCTCAGAGAGCGCAGCTGAAGACACTGCTGAAGAGCCAACACTGACAGAGGCAGTGAAGCCGGGTGAGGAAAAGGTGAGCATGCCAGAGCTGACATGAAGCCTTGTGCTCTGAGCTTGTCTGTCTGTCCTGACCTGGGAAAAACTGCCTGCTCCCAGCTGGTATGGGGAGCATCTGGGTAGCTGTGGCATCCTCCCCTTCTCATCCATTTCCATTGACTGTGACAACCTCCATTCCCCAGAGCTCTGGATTCAGGTGGTTTGGCTGGTTTCGGTCAAAGACCACCAAGGAAACGTCTCCTAAAGCTGTGTCTGAGACATCCCTGGACTCCCCCACACCGGGACTGCAGGTAGGGGACGAAAGGCTGTCCTGTCCCCAGGTGACACACGGGGTTACAGCCATGGGGACAGGTGACACATCTCCCCCTTCACCCACTATGCATGGCCATAACCATTCTGTGTGGAGATAAGGCGGGACCAGGAGTGCTTTTAGCCTGGAAGTGAATCTTTGATTAATAATAATCATAAATTTATAAAGCCTCTTTGATCTTGGAGGTCCTCTGAGTGCTTGGTAAACTCTGTAGAGATTGCTTGCCCTCCGCCAGAGTGGAAAGCAGCAGCAGCTGCGAGCAGCACTGCTCAGACAGGTTGTAGGAGATGAAGGGAAGGAAAAACCTCTTTAACTGGAAGTGCAGCAGAGACAGGGAAGCAGATATGTGTCGTTACCCCAGTCCTGGCTGAGTCCTTGGGGTGCCACATCCTCAGCTGCAGCTGGACGGTGGGTCTGGAGGCAGATGTTAGAGTGAGATCTACCTCTGGAAGTTTCCTCCTGGTTGAGAAAGACCTACAGTCCAGGAGCAGGAAATTTTGAGAAATTCTTCCAAAGGTAGGCAGAGATGAGGTACAGAGGGGTACCTATGGACGCTGGTGGCCCTTTACACTGTACACAAGCTTGGTGCCCAGCCTTCTGGCTAATTTTAAGTTCTCCAGGTGATTTAGCTTTGTGACAGGAGTCGCTTGGCCTCACCCTGCAGTTCCTCCTTAGCTTGGGTGCCTGCAGCTCTTGGGGTACCTCTCCATCAGGATGGGTGTGTAGTGGTACCCCAAAAGCATGGTGTGATATCTTGTACAGAGGTCTTCTCACCATGCAAGGAGCTGCTCTAAATGGGTGGATGTCATTTCAGGATCGGACGTCGCCATCCCCGCCCGATGCCCCTCTGACAGCTGGGACAAGTCCTTTGGCTCAATCTATCTCCAGAAACCCCGGTAAATGCTGTGTGGGTTCCCTCTCCCCATCAGCCTTTTAGAAGCTGCTGCTCTTAATTTTAAGGGGTGTTTTTTCTGTGGTTGTTTTTTTGTTGTTGTTGTTGTGTACCCCTGGAGAACTACAAGGTGAAAACACTTTTCCTGTTATGCCAGTGTCCATTGAGATGAAAGGCTCGTGGAGTGCAGATGATGGGGAGTCAACAGGAGAGCAGGTGAGGAGAGGAAAGGGGTGTATTCATGTGTGATGGGGGTGGTCCAGGACACCTCTGCTTGGCGTGGCTCTGAAATTGGGGGTTGGCTGTTAAGTTTCTCTCCTTTCACCGCTTCCAGACTGGCTCCCATGACTCACCCCCACTGGTGGGGACAGTACCTCTCTTCAACCCTGTCCAGGTCTCTCAGGTGAAAGCATCATCCTGGGGTGTTGCTGGGTTGCCCTGGGGGTGGCTCCTGGCTTTTTTTTTTTTTTTTTTTTTTGGGGGGGGTGTGTGTGACTCCTGTTTTTGGGGTTGATGTCAGATTGCAGGCAACCTGCTATGGGTGAGGGGATATAGGGGATGCCCACCCTGGGTATAAGGGTTTGGTGTTTATAAGGAAATAGATTGGGGGAGGACAGTGATGGGGAGGGTGTGATAGAGGAGGGAATGGTTGGGGGTTGCTTATGGTTGCTTCACGTTTTGGGGTACAACCCTCTCTTACACCATCCTCTGCTTCCCAGCTCACTGCTGCCTCTCGACCCAACCAACCCAGGCTACTATCCCAGCGGCGCTACCCCCCTGCTCTGTGATTGGAGATGTCTGGGGAGGGGGGGGGACAGAAATCAATGCTGTTTTTTAAACAAAATGGTGTTTGTGATTATTTTGATGTGGGGAGGCAGTGGCTGGGGCCACCAGCCTCTGCCACCAGGTTAGGGAGTTAAATGATATAGAATGGGGGTGTTAGGGGGTTAAATGATATAGAATGGAGGTGTTAGGGGGTTAAATGATATAGAA